AAAGAAATCTTAAATTTATGTCTAATTTTGTTAGTACAGTCATACTTTGATACTCAACTGCTTTGAAACTCATGGAATTTGATACTCAACACACTTTGGCGTGAAAATTTTGTTGTCTGTTTGGTACTCAGGGTGCCATTTTGAACTTGCTGGCAACTCCCTATAACTTTTTACCCATTCCAGCCAAAAAATTTATTTTGTACTTGTTATTTTTGGTACTCATCAGAAATCTCAAAATTAGCTGGGCGTTGTGGTGCACACCTGTAATCCCAGCACTTGAGAGGCCGAGGCAGGAGGACTGCTGCAAGTTCGAGGCCAGCCTGAAATACATAGCAAGACCCTGTCTCGGAAAAAAAAAAAAAAGGAATCCCAGAGCCAATTAACAAGTGTAATATGGAACACTCCAACTTAACAAACATTTCAGTTACAAACTTTCATAGGTGCTGAGTACTATATAAAGATTTACTTGGTCAGCTTTCAAATGAATCCAACCTATGAACAATTCTAGAAAGGGTGGAACTCATGAGTAAGTTGAGGACTTACGGGGGGGGGGGGGGGCGGTTTGTACTTAAGATTGAACCTAGCCCCCCTTCTTTTAATCTTTTGAGACACAGTCTTGCTAAATCACTAACTTCCCCAGGTTGGGCTCAAACCTGTGATCTGGACTGCCTCACCCTCCCAGCATACTCGGATTACATGTGTCCATCACCATGCCTAGCTTGAAGTTATGATTTCTAATAAATACATTTTCTAGGGCCGGGGATTTAGCTCAGTGGTTCCACTGCCTGCCTCAAAAGTGCAAGGTCCTGAGTTCGATCCCTGGTACCAAAAATATATATATAATATATATTTTAATAATGTATTATATATATATTTTTTTCTAGTTCTACCTACTGAAATGACTTAGAAACAATGAAGATCCTGTAGCAATGGGCATCTCTAGCACTTAGATCTTGGTTTCCAAAGGCATTCCCTGTAAGAGACACTAAATCTTCTTAGAAAAATGACTGATGACACCAGGTCAAGGACAGAGAATACAAACAACCTAGGATAGCTTGCTGTGACAAAACACAAGCAATAGGGCTGGGAGTGTAGCTTAGTGGTACAGCACATACCTAACATGTAGGAGGCCTTGGGTAATCCTCAGCCCAAACAAAAATAAAAAAGGAAGGAAGCACCCCAAGAAAAATGTGGACATGTCAAAAAGACCCAAACCAATTTAAACAATAATGGCCAAAAGTCAGGTCAAAAAAGACTAATGGCTACAAATAAGTGTAAAACAACCAGTAAGTTAAAATCCATGTACTTACAGTGACACAGAAAATAGCAAGTAAGTTTATTTGCCTTCACTGAGATGACCACTGCACCAATTCTTTACTAAGAAACTTTATAATGAAAAACAAATAATTAAATATCCTGCCTTCCTACAGAATAATAAAGGAATGCAAGTTTGGAAGAACATGCCATACTAACAAAATCTTCAAAATAGTTTTAAATTATGCTGGGTGTGGTGGTACATGCTTCTAATCCCAGTATTCTGGGAGGCTGAGGCAGGAGGATTAAAAGTTGGAGCTCAGCCCAGGTAATTTAGCACGATCCTGTCTCAAAAACTTAAAAAGGTCTGGGGATGTAGCTCAGTATGAAGTCCCTGGGCTCAATTCCCAGTACTGCTCAACAAACAAATAAATAAGGATTGTCTATAGGTTGTATCCTTCTACATGTAACTGTCACAATACAGAAACACGAACATACCACTTTTCTGTCAACCACAAGCTTAAAGCACTTGATTTCAGTTAAGTCATACATATACACGTGTATATTATGTGTGTGTATATATATATATATATATAAATACACACACACACACACACACACACACACACACACACACATACATATATATCGGTACTGGGAATCAAACTCAGGATCTCTCTCTTTTTTTTTTTTTTTTGGCACCAGGGATCAAACTCAGGACCTTATGCTTTCAAGGCAGGTGTGGTGCCACTGAGCTAAATCCTCAGCTCAATGGTATACATTTAAATTACACAGTGTCACATAAAGATTTTACTCAATCCAAAAATTCATAAAATGTCTGTGTGACAATATGCTAAATTAATTTTTAAAACTCCAGCACCGACATACATAACTTGTACTAGGACACAGAAATTCACTATCAGATGTAAAGCTACCTCAATTCATACAAATAGTCTATAAAATAGTTTATTAAATTCTCGCTCAATCTGACAGCTTCACCCCAAAAAAGAATAGGATCTTCTCATTTTATTTATTATTGGAAGAAAGGTCAGTACTACTAACCACCTATACTCAACACTGTAATGGATGGCAACTAAACATTAACTAAATGTGATCTAATTACAACATTCAGTGCCTCCTGTTCTAGTTTATAAAACAAAAACAAAAACGCATCACTCTAAAGTTGTCATCACTTAGTGATCTGAGATATTTTAATTGCAGCTGCAATGTTTGTGTTTGCTGCCTGTGCCTATGACTCACTCAGAAAGGTTCTCCCAAGACTGCTAGATTTTTGAGAATGCAGAAACCATAACTGGGGCACACTGTGTGGGAAGTGTCATGACAGTGAATGAATAAAAGGGGAAAAGAACTCATGACAGGATTTTTTAAAAGTTTTATAAAAACCAAGTCACTCAAAAAAGGCAGACTTTTCTGCAGAATAACAGGAAGGGTTAGGAAAAGCACTCCCAGCTCTCAGAATTCTTCCTTGGCTCCCATGGTTGGATTCAGTGTATTTCTTTTATTTCAATAAGCCTAAGTGGTTTCCTTGTCTGGTTTCTCAAATAAACTAGGCAACCTCAGACCAAAAGCTGTCTCATCTTAAGATCACTGATAACTCCTTCCCCAAATGTCTAGCATAAATATAGTATAGGGCCCTTCAATAGGTTTTCCATAGAATTGAAAGAATCTTTATCTTTTATTTTATAAAACACACTCATAAACATTATCTCTTGACCCACACTCTTGTGGAGTGGGAATGGAATTATTAACTAAATGGCTTCTCATAAAAGTTAATTCACTAAAACAACTCCAAAATCACAAAGATAATAATATATTTCTTCATCTTTGAGATAGCTTTTTGGGACCCCAATATTGTCATATAACTCAGGTTTTGCTAGCATTTTTTTGTTTGGCTTGCTTTCCATAATAGGTAGCAATCACACAGCTCTGCATCTTATGAAGAGTTTTAACTACCTACAGTGATGCTAGATAAAGGCCATTTTAGAGATCAGATATTAAGAACCAGCATCCTAAGCTATTTTTCCTGATCTTGTTCTTTTCCTAAAGTCGAAATAGTGGAGAGTGAATGATGTCATAGATGTCATGAAGTTGCATCAATACCTAATGATGATTTAGCACAACAATGCAACTTATTATGCCAAGAAACAATGTCAAACTACCAGGATGTTTCCCTGCATTAATTTCATGGCTCTTTACTAGCCTATTAATATACGTAGAGTGGCTCTCTAATTTCTTACTGTTGGTTCAAGTTTATATCACTAGCAAAGACACTAAGAAAACCTACAAATTTATATGAAAATGCTTTAAGAATAGGAAAGGAAAAAAACGTTCAAAGAGCTAGCAAATATTAAACTAAATGGCTGTCATTTCAACAACTGAAACCCTTTTCGAGTGCACAACACAACCATGGATCAATGTTGATAGAATATATATTGAGTTTATCAAAAGCCAAGTTACAGGGAATAAAATGACAACACACAATAGGATAAGACACCCAATCAGATAATACACATGAATAAACTCAGGTTAGGAATTTGACACAGAGCATCATTATTAAGAGCTACATACTGAATTCTGAATGATGGTATTTCTTCCTAAATTTTTCTTGTCCCTTTAAATCCATGATGTCATCATTCTCTAGCACAAGCAGAACCAATGTGTTACAAAAGATGTTTGGTGTAGCCAAGCAAAAACAGTGGTCTCACCGTTTCCCCATAGCACAATTCCAACGCATGCCTTAAGGAAGAGACCACAAGGCTTCAAACCGGCTTCCCTAGCCTGAATGCAAATGCTCCAATTAACATCGGAACAACTAAGTTATTCTCAAAAATGAGAAACACAGTATAATGCCGCTGCCAGCAAGCAAGACTTGGTAATGTACTTGGAGCTTCATCTAGATCGCTCCGAATCCCACCACAAAAAAATCCAGACTTTGGCAATAAAAAGACGAAGCTTTTATTTTCCTAATGAAAGTCTGAAGATCCAACAAAGCAAGCAGTTATTCCAAGGCTTAACAATCCAAAGGTTCAAACGCACTCCATTGGCGCTTAAGTTTCTCAGCAGACACTACCAAGATCTCTCAATTGTGTTTTCTTCATTTACAAATTCGTTCCCACCCTCCACTGATGCTTTGCACAAATAACTCTCAATAGGAAAAGCTGTCCTCGATCACAACATGGATTGCTGTCTTAACCAAGGAGATCCGGGGTTCCCACTCCTCTAAAGGAACACTCGAAAAAGCTAAGGGTTAGGAAAGGCTGCTTGTGTCTTATTTCGCGAGCCAACTCCAAAACCAACCCTTTGCAGCTGCAGCTTCAGGGATGCGGGCCCCTCGCCGTAGCCCCAATTTTGGAGAGCACCAGTCTCCGGCTCCTCTCGCAATCAGGGGCTCGGGGCCGGTAGAGCAGACTGAAACACTGACACCCCTAAGGCACCCTTTCGCCAGCCACACATCTCTTCGTAACGGGGTGAGGGGAGGAGAACTGCCCGGCTAAAGAGAGAACAGGTTCGCTCCCATCCTAAAGGGCTGGCTGGAAAGGGGCTCTGCTCCTCCCCGCCTCACCCAGGGGAGACCGAGAATGACAGCAAGGCCCTGAGACTCGCCAGGACCGACCCCCTCTCAGGATACCGGGCCTGCGCCGGGCCCCAGGCGCTCACTGCACCCGGGGCATAAAGGGCAAGAGGCGCCGGCTGCTAGCCGCGGCCCCGGGACGGGGAGGCCTCACCTGGCCCGGCCCACTCCACGTTTCGGGTTCGCTCCGCTGTGATAGTGGTAAGGGACCTCGGAGCAGGACCGGACCAGGGGCACTCCGCCCCAAGATGCGTTTGCCGTGCTCGGGGGTTCTCACAGCTGGCAGGACCCCGAGCCGCCGGGAGCCGCCATCTTCCTCCACTCAAACGCCGCCGCTGCTCTGCTCTGGCCAAGAGAAGACAGCACGGAGCGCGCATGCGCAGGGCCACGGCGTGGAGGACGCGCGCGCACAACGTCAGCGTGGCGGGTCGCCGAGGGACGGCCGCAGGGTGGCGCCATGTTGAGAAGGGCCAAGCTTTCCCAGAGGTTTGAAGGCACCCTAGGGCACAGAAGCTTCCTGAGAGCTAGCCTTAGGCCTCCGTCCAGCTTTGGCTGCAGTGTCTGGGGCAATTGGGAAGTTTTCCCAATGGTTTGAGACCAAGACGTTTAGAAATTAACTCACTTTATGACTTTAGTCCCCAGTGAGCACAGAGGAGGTTTGTGGCTTATGGAAGGGCCCATGGATATCCCACTGCTTTGGTTAGAGAAGTGTGCTTCTCTAAACTGTAGCAACCAGTGTGAGTTGTTACTACCTCTTTTTTTTTTTACCCCTTCTGTTCTAGGGACTGAACTCAGGGCCTTTGCACTGAGACACAACCCTAACCCTTATTTTTTATTTTGAAACACAGCCTCACCAAGTCGCTTAAATTTCCCAGGCTGGGCTCAGATTTGTGAGTCTCCTGCCTCAGCTTCCCAGAATGCTAAGATTATGGACATGTGCCACCATGCCTAATTTACTAGCTCCATTTTTCAGATGAGGAAATTCAAGCATAGAATCACTCACCTGGCAATGGGGATGAGGAGGGAACAGGATTTTAACTCTTTGGCTTTCCTGGTTTCCAAGCTCCTGTACTTCCAATTTTCACTATTACTAGGACATGGAGTCCAGGTAAGCCCCGCTTCAAGGGAGCAACTTTAGGAACCCATACCTACAGCATATCTAAGGATATGCCAGGGATACAGCACTCTGGCTTCAGTCTTCACCTCCTAGCCCTAGCACTGGAGCAACCTTGGGCTGCCAACAGACTGCTCTAGTATAAAGTGGATCTCCTAGGACCTCTTGGGAAATAGGATGGGGGTCAGAAGCCAAGTGCTGCCGGCCTGGTGGTGCATACCTGTAACCCCAGATATTAAGGGGCCCGAGGCAAGAAGATTACTTGAGCCCAGAGTCCAAGACCAACCTAGTCAACACAATCAGATTACACCTCAAAGATAAATCCCCTCTCCAGATCTGAGTCAGCCTCACTCTAGAAAACACTTACATTTCTCAAGGGATAATGCCAGGACCCCTGGGAACACATTTATAGCATCCCAGTATGAGAAACAGATTTAAGGAATTCCAGTCTTCCCATTAGGAACTGTCACTGCAAAAGAAAAATTTGGCAATTCTAACTGGTAAGGTAACAATTAAATCATGTCAGTAAAAACTCCAAAACTGCTGGGCATGGTGGTGCTTGCTTGTAATCCCAGGACTTTGGGAGGCTGAGGCAGGAGAATTGCATAATCAAGTCCTGCCTAGGCAATTTAGTGAAATTCAGTCTTAAAATAAGAAATAAAGGGGGCTGGGGATTTAGCTCAGTGGTTCCACTGCCTGCCTTGAAAGCGCAAGTTCCTGAGTTCAATTCCTGGTACCAAAAAAAAAAAAAGAAATAAAGGGCTGGGAATGTAGCTCAGTGGTAGAACACCCTTGGGTTTGATTCCCAGTACCACCAAAAGCAAACAAACAAATCCTAAAAATTGTTGTAGAGGGCTGGGGGTATAGCTCAGTGGTACAGCACTTGCTTAACATGCCCAGGGCCCTGGATCCCAACCCTAGCAAATCAATTAATTAAAGGTACAAAACTTGCAACCTTTTCCTCCAAATACTCTGTAGCAGTCGATAGCACTAGACCAGCTATTAAGTGCTTCCTTTAAAAAATACAGGTTCCAGGGTTGACCTCAGTCTACTCCCTCAGACTCTCTAGAGCTCCCCTGGGAGACTGGTGTCCAGTCAAATTTGAGGCTAGATAATTTTAGAACAAGTTCAGACCTTGACTCTCCTGGCTCAAAGATTACAAAGATTTTTGTATTGCTTACTGCTTTTCCACCTGCACCTAGTATAGAGACCATGACACAGTGGGGACTCCATAATATTTTTTGAATGAAAAAATATATATATTTGTTGGATGAAAGCACGAACTAGAGAGCTGGATATGATGGCGCATATCTGTAATCCTGGCATTTGGGAGGCTCACTTTTGAATTTGAGACCAGCCTGGGTTACCATAGTGACTTCAAGGCCATCCCAAACTACGGACTGAGACCCTGTCTCAAAAAAAAAAAAAAGAATGAATTGGAGTTAGGTGTGGTGGTACATACCTATAATCCTAGCACTTTCAGAGGCTGACGCAGGAAGATCACAAGGTTGAACCTGACCTAGCCAATTTACAGACTTAGTGTCTCAAAAATAAAAAATAGCCAGGGCCGGTGATTTAGCGCAGTGGTTTCACTGCCTGCCT